GTAGATGCTATCGTCACATGCACAAAACACTTCAGTGAGTATAGCAGATTTTGATTTAACTTAAAAAAAAAAATTTCTACAGGAAAACAAATTCCTCTAAAACCTGATAATTAGCATTACGAAGAATCCCTCACTATTGCTGAAGCTTAGATTAAATATACTGCTGCTCACCCACCTCTGGTTTTATTATCATCTCTTCCTCCTCAACTCCAGAAAACACATTAGATTAGTATGTGGGAAAGCCACTGAGATGATAGTAATTGGATTACAACTTATTTTTTTTAAAAAAATCCTAATAAATCATGCACTAACTTTGATATTTTCATACTAATTAAACTGTTTTACAACTGATTGTAACACACTCTTAACCAAGAACAAGAGCGGGCAAACAACAGTCAGTGGGCCAAATCCAGCCAACTGCCTATTTTTATCTGACCTGAAAACAAGAATGATGTGCAAATTTTTTAATGGCTAAAGAAAAAAAACAACAAACCCAAACCACAAACCAGAAGATAAGTGATTTGTAACACCTGAAATGATAGGAAATTAAAATGTTAGTGTAAAAGATGTTTCCATGGAATAGTCATGCCCATTCATTTACATATTGTCTTCCATGGAATAGTCATGCCCATTCATTTACATATTGTCTCCAGCAAGATTGATCTGGTGAGACAGAGACCACAAAGTCTAAAATATCCAGCACTTTACAGAAAAGAGTTTGCTGACTCCTGGCTGAGAGAATGACACATCATCTCAATGCTAATAGCTCTTAAGAATAAATTCCTGACTATGAACTTAATTAATGAACTTAATTATGAAATAGCAGTAAAACCTATCTGGGATAGATATCCATTCCTGAGTTATCCAAACTTTCTGATTTCTTCAACGGCAAAAACCACCATAAGATAATGAAATATGACTCCTGCATTTTGACTGAACTGACGTTTATAAACTCACTTTCTGCCATCTCCTTTTCATCAATTCCAGAAAAAAAATTAGAAATTATTGTTATTTTTGAGTTAATATCAACTCATAGCTGACCATCCAGTGGGTTTTCAGAAGCTGTACATCACACAGGAGGACACTGATCATCTTGTTCCCACAGAACAACAGTACATAGTAGAGCAGTAAAAAAAAGCACTGGGCTACAAGTTAGAAGACCTGGGTTTTAGGCAACTGAGACAAATACATTCTTCTAGTCTTGTCCAATCTGAATATTATTTTAAAAATCTAATGAAAGCACTAACATGACTGGTTAAGATAAAGACTCAAAATGGTTTTAAGCAGAGCACAAAGTTAATGAAAAGTAAAATTTACTCGCCTCCTGACTCCCAAATAGAAAAGTTCTCCCACCCAAGGAGGATTTGAGTGTGAAAGGTGGGAATCCATCTATTAAAAGTCTTAATGAATGTGCAAGAGAGCATGTGTATAAAGGAAAATCCTATCACCCCCTCAATTACCCTTTTGGAAAATAACTGCATTGAATTATACAGTTTCTAAAGCCTCTGCCAGAACTGGTAATTTATGTCAAATGATTAGCCTCAGTTTATTCATCTGTAAAACTGGATTAATAACAGCCTTCTTCCTATGACTGTTTAAGGATTAAGTGAGTAAATCCATGTAAAATGCTCAGAACTGTATTATATACATTTTCACCCTTGTTACTAATTTAGGCATTAAAATCGAACACTGGTGAGGCATCTTCTTGTGACAAGTATAATGTTAGAAGGTGGGGATAGAAAAGTAAAATAGAAGTTGATTCTCTTAGCATAGGTAAGGATAAATGAAATTTACATCTATCATTTTAATGTCAATGTGTCTATAAATTAATAGTTCTATGATACAAAAGTCTTATTTCTAAACAAGCATTGTTAAAAATACCCAGTGTTCACTATAGAATAAACCAAATTTGTTACTAATGATCTTCCTTACATTTCAAAAGGAATGCTCAATGTTTACTAAAAAAAATGTTTATGTTTTGACAATGTATATGAAATGCAAGCCTTTGGATTCAAACTAACTTGCCAAAGTAGTCTAGTTACATTTTTATCCATTGTACAAATGTTTGCTGAGCACTTGCTATATACTAGAGTCAGCTACAATAAGAGAAATGTTCCTGGGAGCTCTGGTGGCCTAGTGGCAAGAAGCTGCACTGCAATCCCAGGGGTATGTGGTTCGAATCCACCAGATGCTCTGTTGGAGAAGGAGGGGCAATCTCCTCCTCTACCAGTCAGATCTGATTTGACGGTACACACAAAATAATAAAATAAAATAAAATACAACACACTACAATACAATGCAAAAGAGACATGGTCCTTAATCACTGTCAATTATGTGTCAGAGAGTTGGACAATGACTAGGAAGGACAGAAGGAGAATTAATGCCTTTGAGCTGTGGTGCTGGAGAAGAGTATTGAGTGCACCATGGACTGCTAAGAAAACAAACAGATTCATCCTGGAAAGGGTTAAGACGGGCTGCTCCTTGGAGGCAAGGATTCTGGGGCTTCGTCTGACATACTTTGGACATGCTGGAAGGAGGAACCGGTCCTTGGAGAGGGACATCATGCTTGGGAGGGTGGAGGGACGGCGCAGGAGGGGAAGACCCTCTATGAGGTGGATTGATTCAGTGACTGGGGTAATCAGGATGGGAGTATCAGAGACAGTGTGACTGGAACAGGACAGAGCAGTTTAGGGCTGTGGTACATAGGGTCGCTATGAGTGACAAGCGACTCGATGGCACATAACAACAACAACCATGAAAACCATGTGGGCAATTACAGTAAGGTATGAGTAGTACTCGAGTCGCTGAGTGGTACAATCTGCTTTCCCATTTGCTACTAACTAGTTGCTACTAAATAGTTGGTGATTCAGGTCCACTCAGAAAAGTTTGGCGTTATACCTCCAAAACTCAGTCACTGAAAATTGTAGGGGGCATATAACTCTACTATGATACGAAAGGACTCAGCATGAATCAGGAAGGACCCAAAGGTTTGGGTTTTTTGGTTTGTCTATTTATATGAATGCTCTGATGAGAAAGCCTAGGATTTCAAAGCCTTTGCAGCATGTGGTAGGGGCCCTAAATCTACCTAATCCAAGGGACGGCAGAAACCTGTGAAATGAAAGGTGAGTAAAAGTGTTTAAGCTGAGGAGGCAGAGAATGTTTGGACAAAATGAACACTCATGAAAATGAATGAGCACATCTGAAGAACAGACAGCTGTTCAGTCTTACTAGGACATACAGCAAAGTGAGCAGGAAGGACTCGCGATGATACTGGAGGTAACCACATGGTTTACACCTCACCTTAACGGCAATAAAAGTCATTCAAAGTTCTAAGCACAAACATAAAAATGGTTAATAATCAATGTAGAAACAGTTGGTGGAAATAATTAGCTGATTGATTTGAAATGCAAGCAGAAGAGAAACCTGTTGATTTATACCTTCCCTGTCTGCTGCAGAGACCAGCTGGCAGTCTCTCTTTAGTTTTAACCTACTTATAATGCAAATATGCATGTAAAAGTGAGATATAAAAATATTTGTTTCTTATTTACAAAATGAGTATCTATGAACTCATTCTCTTCGCTACTAAACCAATACTAGAAGATGATAACCAGGCGATCTTCAGAGGAGACTGACTTAGTGAAGAGGTGGCAGTAGTCGGAATTCTGGACACAAGCCAGAGGACTTGAGTTCAAATCCTATCTGGTTCCAGCAGTCACTAGGTGTCAATATCTGCCCATGCGCAGCGCGGATTCTCTCTTCTGTGTTCCAGTGGAAGTGCTTGGAGACTTGTGCACCATCACACAACTCTGATGCTTTCTTTTATTTTTGTCCAGTTCCAGAAGAATTTGAAAGCTTTCCCCATAGGGCAGTCTCTCTTTCTTGATATGAACTCTGAGGGTGGCTTAGAAGAAAAGTCTCCAGTGTAAATGTTATTACAAACCCAAGAAGTTTGAGCCAGCTTTAAGGTAAGAGAGTTGGGAACTGAGGCGTAGGGATGGCGGGACAGCAAGCCTGATTGAAATGTCACTGCATAGCTACGCTCACGGATTCTTTCCCCTTAAATGGGCTATCTGCAAAAACACCTGGAACAAAGGAGCATTTGGGTTCCTTTGAAAAAAGGAAATGCATTTAGAAGTCAAGGCATTATTATAAATTATGTTGTTAGTCCAGTTTTCAAGTCTAAATATTCTGAATGAACATTTTTAGGTGAATTAATTTTGCTAGTCACTTTCTTTTCTAATGAAACAAAACAAAACAAAAAAACTGATCTTTTAAAAGTTTCATACTCTAACTCACCACAATCTTGATTTGATGATTTGCCTTCTAAATATGTATTTAATCAAACTTAATATGACTGATAACAGAATTTACTATATTCACAGATGAAACCACAGTTTATAAAATATAGCCGTAGAAGAGTACAAATTCTAACTTCTAAGATAACCCATATTTCTTATAATTAACACCATTTTATGTTTTCAGGAACACCTATGCCTTTCCAAACAACAGTAAAAATTGTTTTCTCACAGCTACTTACTATAAAGAACTGCCGGGTAAGTATGAATCATCTTCATTTCATTATCATCCTTCCTTCCTTTCTCACATGATCAGTGCAACTCTTTAGAAATCTTATGTTTTATGGAAATTTGTAACTTCTGCTTACAAGGCTAATGTGAAATAGGGCCCTCCATTGAAGTTCTCTTAGGAACACTCTCTTGTATGGTGATAACAAGAATAAAAGTCTCTCAAAATATGATGGTGATACCTTGTAACTGCTCTACCTTTCTACATGATTACTTGATCAAATAGCCAAGGTATATAGGTCATAAAAAAGGCAGCCTTATTGGGTCTTAAGTCCCATGGAGTCCTATGGCAAGAATCAGTTCTTTCAAGCCTCTCAAAGCTGTGGTGCTGTTCAAATAAGACAGCAAGTACTTTGTAAAGTTTCAAGTACTTTCCAAAAAGTATGGATTCATTTTTCAGTAATCTTCAGTGTCTAGAAAAGAAACTTGCTGTCTTCCAAAAAGGTTTAAATGAGTCCTGGTTGTTTTTTTTAAAAAAAAATCATAAAGGCTAAAATTACACTGAATTTTCTTTAAAAATATATTTTTGCTAAAGACATCTCAGTCCATATAATCAGTTGGCTTTGCAGCTATAGTTAAGGGGTCCCCATCAGCAAGTAGAAGGTCAGGGCAACAATGAGAAGCAAACAAAATGGAGAAGAGAATGTCTGATAGGCAGCTGACGGCATGAAAATGTCTTCATACTTGTAAATACTGACGACTCGCTCGGAAGCTGGAGGTGAGTCTATATCATGGCGAGTGATAGAGCCTTTAAGAAAGACATAAATAAGGGGCAATCGGGGAAAAGCACAGAATTAAAATGACGAATCAACACAGGGAAAAAACCAAGTCCAAGTTTTTAGTGTTTGATACATAACAGTAAATAATCATCATTATATAGTATGTACAATTATAGAAGATTCTGATGAGAACTCCAATATCTGATTCCATGTCTTAATAGTTACTGTGATTCATCCTGGAGAGGGTTAAACCAGGTTACTCCTTGGAGGCAAGAATTCTGGGGCTTCGTCTGACGTACTTTGGACATGTTGTAAGGAGAGACAGGTCCTTGGAGAGGGACATCATGCTTGATAGGGTGGAGGGACAGCGCAGGAGGGGAAGACCCTCTATAAGGTGGATTGATTCAGTGATTGGGGTAATCGGGATGGGTGCGTTGGAGGCAGTGCAATTGGCACAGGATAGAGCAGAGTTTAGGGCTGTTGTACATAGGGTCGCTATGAGTTGCAAACGACTCAACAGCACAGAACAACAACAACAACATATAATGATGAAAGTCTTGGTGGTACAGTGGTACAAGCCCTCAGCTACTAACCAAAAGGGTCAAACCTACATCAAAGTCTGCATCCTCAAACATTTACAGCCTTAGAAACCCACTAGCGGGTTTTCAGAGGCAGTTAATTGCACAGGAGGAGATTGCTCATCTTTCTCCCACAGAGCAGATGGTGGTCTCGAACCACGTGTTTTGAGGATTGCAGCACAATTTCTTGCCACTAGGCCACTAGAGCTCCTGACAAGACATGTTAAAAGCAGGTATTTATACAATATGACTAAACAGCCACTTGACAACTGGTGGTGGTTGTCACATAGCTTCCTTGATCTGATGAGGAAAGGGGAGATTAATAAGAACCAGTTTGCTTGTTTGTTTTTAAAAGAATTTTGACTGACCTTCTTGTTCATCATTATATTAAAAAAGCCCCCTGCTCAAGTTAATGTATTCATGGTAATCCCATAGGACAGATACAGAACTGTCTTACTGGTATTCTAAGGCTTACATTTGTAAAGCAATTTGAGGCTCTTTTATTTGTTTCAATAACTCTATGAAGTAGGCATTAATATGATCATCCTCATTTCAGATATTAAAAAGAAATTAAAGTTGAAAATTTAGATAAACCACTAAACATCATACAGGGGTATGGTATCACCAAGGGGCAGATCAACATTGAAATAAATTTTTATACTTAAAATCCTATCACTTTAAATGAGTTCATTTCTCTGGGCTGACATAGAATTTATTTCCCAGGGTGCTCAAAGTTCTTGAAGATATAATTGCAGATCCGCCGGGGGTAATCTGTGAAATCTCCAAATGAAAAAAGGTAGCACAGATTTGGAGGTATGCAAATGTTTTCCCAGTTGGCAAGCAGAGGGGATATGATGAAATCTCCAGACTCAAAGATTAGAACTGAACAAAATACAGAAATCAGAATGGTTTATGTTGTTAGTCTGTGGCATTGAGGCAGAACCGACTCATAACTGACCTTGAAGGGGGTTTCCAGAGGCAATAAATTGCACAGGAGAAGAATGCCCATCTTTCTCCTGGTGTACTAAAACCATCTGTCTTTGGGCTGGTAGCACAATTTCTTAGCACTAGGCCACAAGAGATCCCTGAGATTGGTTGATAAGCACATGGTAAAGGTGCAGTTTCCAGGAGGAGCCAGGCTGTGTTTTACATAAAGGGACAGCAAACCAACACTTTCCTTCTTAGTCAGTAGACTGATTCCTCAGATGGAAGGCTGAAGATAGTCTCACTGAATTTTCTCAGTCTCATAATTTCAAGGTGGGTCTATGTTAGGGTAATGTTGAAGAGCCCTGCCACTCAAAGCTAGGCCAATGGACCCACATCATCGGGAGCGTGTGAGACATGCCGAAACTCAGGCCCTACCCCAAATCTACTGAATCACATTCTGCATCTTAACAATATCCAGGTGATCTGTGTGCACATTAATATTTGAGGACTAATGGGCTAGAATGATTGGGCCCATTAACTAACTGTGGTCACTGAAGCATGCTCAGTGTCAATTTCTAGAGAAGTCTCCAGAAGCCTTTTACTGTTCAGTACATACATAGAGCAAAAAGGTTCAGAGTACATAACTAGCTTTGGAGTCTGATAAGCCTGAGATTGAATCTAGGTGCTTCCACTAATTAGCTGCATAACCTTAGATGAATTTCTTATTCTCTTTAAAGTAAGAATAATATCTATACCTCTCAAGAATGAGGTAATCATTATTATACCCAAGGCCACTGAGTTGGTTTTAATTCATAGTGACACTTGGTCAAGAGGCTGTAAACCTTTAGGGGTGCACACTGCCGCTCTTTTTCCTGCAGAGCATCTGGTAGATTCCAACTGCCAATATTTTGGCTAGCAGCCCAACATGTCACGCATGCACCACACCACCAGGGAAACACAATTCCTAATGCTTTGGGAATGAGATTAAAATATTTATATCCACCCTCCATTCAAAAAGGGAGCTCTGGTGGGGTAGTTCCTACAGACTTGCCCGCTTCACCCAAAGTCAGCACCTCTCAACTCAGGTGAGTGGACTCCACCAGCACCTCAGGAGAAAGCTGGACAATCTCCTTACTTGTGATTCACAGACTCAGAAAACCCTCTGGAGGGTCAGCTGTGAGTCGGTTCCAACTGGGCTGCAATGAGCATGTGGCTCTAGTGACTTAGTAGGGCCACGTCTCTGTGTTAGTTCCATCCACAACCAGCTCCATGGACAAGTGGGTGATCTCCACCCATGGGATTTAGAGCCATGGTGGGTCAGGCAGGCATCAGTTCCAACTTGACGGCAATGTGTTGCATTTTCAAAAAGGATTTAGGCAATTTGGAATATATAATGTGTATGGATGGATGGAGCTTTGGTTGCCAAGTGACAAGAAGCCATGCTGCAATCTCAATGGCATGCAGTTCGAAGCCACCAGCTGCTACGTGGGAGGATGGGCAATCTCCTCCTGTGCAATTAATTGCCCCTGAAAACCCTCCAGATGGTCAGCTATGGATTGGTTCTGACTCTACAGTACACAACAACAACAATGCAAACATATGGCATATTTTATACTTCTTTAATCATATAATCCACCACATACTGTCTTGTGCTCTAGCTTTTCATGTGTATAAATCTGCATAAATCCATCATAACCTTTAGAAGGCAGGAGTTAGATTCTTTTTCTTTTCCATTATCCAAAGGCTTATCACTGTCTTACACACAGTGTGACTTCAGTATATAATGAACACAAATACTGTGTAATCCAGAGGTCAAAATGTGAGCTTACCTTGAATGGCTGGACCCCATGCAAACAGATAATACCAGCTCAAATGCAAATCAACAATTGTTTCTTCTCTGGGAACATTGACAGGGCGTTTAAATCGGCAGGTCACACGATTGTTCTCAAAAACTCCTTCTTCATCTCTGGCAGGGTTTCTCTGAATCTCCTTAGCCCACTGGCCTACGTTATAGAAGTGCTGGATACGGACCCTGCCATTGTCATCGTGGACACAGGCCATCACATCATCCCCACCCTAAAATGGAACAGGATGAAGAAGGAAAAGTCAAGTCAAAAGTTTGTCTTAGGCAAACTTTTTAGCTGGAAAGAAATCTTACTCAGAAGCACAAATGCTGCTAGCTTTGTGATTTGAGATCCTACCTGCAAAATGTTTCTTGTCTTTTTAAAAATTGTATTTATAATGTTATTGAGAACATACAAAGCAAAATATACACAAATACGACAGTTTCTTCACGTACCATTACATGCCACTGATTACATCCTTCTATTCTTCGAGCTGTGCATTTTACTGTGTGGAACATAACAAGTTATGGCTAACAGAGCACTTAATTGTTCTCATGAGAAACCTATTCCTAGATCAGGAAGCTATTGTGCAAACAGAGCAAGGAACACTAAATGGTTTCAAATGAAGAAGGAAGTATGTCAGGGTGGTATTCTCTCTCCATAACTAGTCAATCTACATGTTGAGCAAATTATTCAAGAAGCTATGAAAAAGAATGTGGCATTGAGATCAGAGGGAGACTCATCAATAACCTGGTGTTATGCAAATGACACAACCTTGTTTGCTGAAAGTGAGGAGGACTAGAACTACTTGTTGTAGAAGATCAGTGAATATAGCATTCAATATGGATTTCATCTTGATGTCAAGAAAACAAAAATTCTTACCACTGGACCAATAGAGAATATCATGACAGATGGGGAAAAGATTCAAACTGTCAACAACTTCATCTTACTTGGATCAACAATTAACACCCTTGGTACTAGCAGTCAGGAAAGCGGGAGACATATTGCCTTGAGGAAGTCTACAGTTAGGGACCTCTCCAAGTTACTAAGGAGTCATGATGTCAGTTTGAGGACTAAGGTACGTCTGATTCAGGCCATAGTCTTTTCGATCACATGCTAAGCATCTGAGAGCTGGACAATGAATAAGGATGAAAGAAGAACAGATGCCTTTGAACTGTGGTGTTGGGCAAGAGCACTGAGCATCCCATAGATGGCCAAAAGAACAAGCAAGTATGTCTTGGAGAGGGTGCAGCCAGAGTGCTCTTTGGAGGCAAAGATGATGATGAGGCTTCACCTCACATACTGGTCAGGTTACTAGGAGGGGCTATTCCTTGGAGAGGGGCATGATGCTTGGAAAGGTAGAGGGTTGGTGAAGGAGAAGATGACCCTCAACGAGGTGGATTGACATGGTGACTGCTGCAATGGGCGCTAATGTGTCTGGAAGAATGAGGATGGCAAAGGATAGGACAGGGTTCAGATCTGTTGTTCATAGGGTAGCCAACTATGGGTTGTACTTGACTCGACAGCACTTAACAACAACAATAACAAGAGATGCTGTGGCAGATTAAATTTTTCGAAGAGGCCCTACATTGTACCCTATTCCACAAAATCTTCCCATTCTGTACCAGTCTTCCAAGAGATGAGGGCCAATATTTCTTCTTGATCTGGGCAGACTTGTGGACACAGCAGAAGTGATACTATTTCTATACTACCAGTGATTTCTGAAGCCATTATAAAAGGCAATACAAGCTTCTACCTGGTCACCCTGGTGTGCTTGCCATTATACCAATAACTATATGGGAAGGCCAAGTGGACGTGATATGGACACAGCCCCAGATGCGGTTACATCTAATGCCCAGTATCATCTACCAAAAATATGAGTACATAAACTTGCAGAATTCCTGAGTAAGTCTGATTCAAGCCACGATACTTCCAACTGCCTCATGTGCATATAAAATTGGACAATAAATAAGTCCAAAGGAGAACCTTCGAATTGTAGCACTGGTGAAAAATATTGAGTATATCATGAACCACAAGAAGAACAAGCAACTCTATGTTGGGAGAAGTGTAATCCAAATGCTGCACAGAGGCAAGGACGGCCAGATTTTATCACACATATACTGGTCATGTGATCATGAAGAGCCAAACCCTGGAGAAAGCTTTCATGTGTTGTAAAATGAATTCACCAAAGAAGAGGAAGCTCTTCAGTGAGATGGGCTGACACAGTGGTTGTTATGGGCTCAAGCACAGGAGATATAGAGAGGATAGCATTAAGACTGCGCAGTGTTTTATTGTTCATACGTCACAAGGAATCAGGCTTACTCACTGATACATAAACAAATCTGCAGATGATTCAGCTTGAAGCTGTGTCTCTGTCACAAATATCTAAAGACAACTCAACCTTGGCTGTTGTTCTTAGCTGTCAAGTATACTACCATTAACGGTGACCTCATGCACGATCAAACTAACTGCTGCCTTGTTCCGCAGCATCTTCATGATCCTTGGCTTTACCTGGGCCCACTGTGGTGGCCACTGATGCCTTCTAAGGGGTTCATCTGCCAGTACTAAATTGGAAAATATTTTGCTCTGTTTCATAGGATTTCCCATGAATCATTTCACTGGTTAAGTACACTGTGGAAATAAATAGACTGTCAAGCTTTTCTTCTAGTCTGTCTTAGTCTAGCAGCTCTAGTAAAACTTGTCTAACACAGTTGACACTGTGGGTATTTGAAATACTAATGGCATAGCTTCCAGCATTTTAGAACAAGCAAACCACAAAGGTACCACAGTACTACAAATAGGAGAACTCAAACTTAACATATCCAAAACCTATATTACTAGGCCTTTCTTTTGAGACACTTCTCAATGTATTCAAACTACTAATATTTTATTTAGGAGTCATCTGCAGCCCTCGGCCAGGTTCAAACTGTTTTCCTGTCAAACATTCTTCTAGGTGGTATAGCACTGGTCTGTGCGTTGCTGCACAGAGGTAACTCATGGTTGCTGTGATGCTGAAGACTGTGACAGTGATTGCCAAACGTGGTAATGTTGGCTGGAGCTTCCCGACTAAAACAAGCCTGGAAGCAGGAGCGGCATTCACTTCCGAAATGGCTTGCCTTCGGAAACTCTATGTACAAACAGTGCTCAGGCCGTTCGTTCACAGGAACAGTGCTCTGGCCGTTCGTTCATAGGGTCGCTATGAGTCGTCTACGACTTGACGGCACTAAACAACAATAACAACGACAACGAAAAAGAGAGAGCTACGTTGGCCTAGTGGAAAGGAAGTTATGCTACCAAGCCAAAGGTGGGTGATTTTCATCTGCGGCCCGCGGCCAGGTTCAAATTGTTTTCCTGTCAAACATTCTTCTAGGTGGTATAGCACTGGTTAGTGCATTGCTGTACAGAGGTAACTCGTGGTTGCTGTGATGCTGAAGACTGTGACAGTGATGTGCCAATCGTGGTAATGGGCACCCATGGTGGACAATGTTGGCTGGAGCTTCCCAACTAAAACAAGCCTGGAAGCAGGAGCGGCATCCACTTCCGAAATGGCTTGCCTCCGGAAACTCTATGTACAAACAGTGCTCAGGCCGTTCATTCATAGGGTTGCTATGAGTCGTCTACGACTCAATGGCACTAAACAACAACAACAAACAAACATATGCATTAACCATTTTCACCATCTATAAACTCTTATTACACTACATGCATACATATATGTTCCCTCTCTCATCTCTATGCAGTCAGAACTGACTCATAGCTTACCCTCAAATGGGTTTTCAGAGGCTATCAATTACATAGAAGGTAATCCATCTTTCTACTAAGGAGAAGTTGGTGGATTTGAACTACGCACCTTTATGTTGGCAATATAACTTTCTACCTACTAAGCCACCAGTGCTCCCTACGTACATACATGTTGTTGTGTACCATCAAGATAGAACAGAGCTGATGTTCCAGCAGGTTTTCAGAGGCAATTAATCCCATGGGAGGAGATTGCCGATCTTTGTCACATGTAGCAGCTGACGGATTTTAACCGTGTGCTTTCGGGATTACAATTTCTTACCACTATGCCATATACAGGTTTGGAAGCAGGAGTGGCATCCTCTTCCTAAATAGTAGGCCTCCGGAAACTCTATGAACGTTGATAAATTTTGATAGTTGTAGAGGGGCTTCAGGCCTTTTGTTCATAGGGTCGCTATGAGTTGTGCTCGATTCGAAGGCAATCAACAACAACAACATGCCATTTATATATCTCAAACATATTGATTAGGTACATACACACACAGCTAGTGATACATAAATATAGATACATATGCATATGTGCATGCACATATATGATATATATATATCACTTTCACACTCACTGCTGTCAAGTTGGAGTTGACTCATAGCTAAACCTCCAATGGGTTTCTCGGAGGCTGTAAATCACACAGGAGGAGATTGCCCATCTTTCTCCAGAGGAACAGCTCTCACTACACATCTACCTATATCTACGCTATTGTTGCACAGTCAAGTTGGATCTAACTCCTAGGTAATCCTCCAGTGGGTGTTCAGAGGCAATATATACACATATGTACAGATGTGTGTGCATGTATATATACATATGGAGCTCTGGTGACTTAGTGTTAAGGAGCTGCACTGCCAACACAAAGGTATACGGTTTGAATCCACCAGCTCCTCTCCAAGAGAAAGATGGGCAATCTCTTCCTGTGTGATTAACTGTCACAAAAACAAAAACCCATTGGAGAATCAGCTATAGGTCAGTTCAAACTTGATGGTAAACCATATATAGATATAGATGATGATATAGAAATAGATAAAGAGATAGAGATAGAGAGATACAGATAGAGATATAATCTTTGGTGGCCTAGTGGTAAGGAGCTGTACGACCAACACAAAGGCGTGCAGTTCGAATCCACCAGCTTTCTATGGAAGAAAGATAGGCAATCTCCTCCGGTGTGATATATATATGGCACACAACAACCACCACCCTATAAATAGCATGTATTATTAGTCACACCTTTGTATGGCCTCGCGCTTGATAGAGGAATGTCTTCCCTGTCCCTTGACTCTGGCCTGGGCTGAGGACCTTGTTATATTATAGGATATTAGCAGACATAACGTGAACAGAGGCTTGAAATATGCTTGTTTACCTCTTACACTTCTGTCTCTGATATGAAAAAAACCATATTGGTAGCAACTAATTCCAGAATTATGAGAGAATAGATAATGAAAACCTGGATTCAATTCACATACCACAGCAAAGTCCAACTGAGCCCCATCTACATTGAGCTGGGCCCCAGCCATCCCACAAATGTGTGAACAAGAAAGAAATGCTCTTCTGTTTATAAGCCACATAGGTGTGGAAGCTTTTCTCACAGCATTGCTGTGGAAAGGTAGTGATGACAGCAAATACCACAAGCCACTTTGTATTCTGATAACCAGCCCTTCCTTTTCAGTTTAAGCTACCTTGAATTTATTGACTTGCAGCCAGACAGCCCTAATGTAATATAAGTCAAAATTGCTTTGATCAACTTATTTCTTTGCCTTGCAAAAGAAAACTCAAATGCCAGAAACTGACCTTTCACTTTAAAAAGTTATATGGTAGAGTTGAGAAACGTAAGCATGCCTGTTATCTAAAGAAGCAAAGCAAATTATTGTAACCAGCATCTGCTGTGATGTGCATCTTACCATTTTCTTGTCGGATGAGAATCCAACTGCTACCCAACCATCTGTGTCTGCGCTCAGCTCAAATTCCACATCTGCGCCTATCATCCGGTAGCTAAGGAAGTAGTCACAAGTCTCTGCATTACAGCCCGGTTTGCCGTATCTACAGGGTACATCAAAGCACATGTTACTGCTTCTTCAACCACTCATCCAAAATCTATGTAGAGAACATGTAGAGGCATTTACACGTACAGAACATTTATCATGAAGGATGGTAAGTGATATAAAATAAATCAGATTTTTACTATTTGATGTCTCAAAACCACAGTTTCACCCAAGAAAGCCTTGGAGATTATCCACTCCACATGATCTCCATATAAACTCAGTCGAGATGAGAAATAGCTAGTCCAAGGTCACAAAGGGAGTCAGTGGTGGTGCCAGGATTTGAGCCTGAGTCTCCAAACTCCTGGCTAGTCTTCTTGAACATTACTGATTAAATGATCTTTTCCTGAATACCTTTCAGAGGGGAAAAAAATCCTCCAAGTCCCTAATTTAAATTGTTTTTGTTATTTAAATTTATATCAACTTTTTCTTATCTATGGGTTTTCATATAAGCATTAAACTGACACAAATTTAAAACATATGTAAGTTAAAAACAAAAGCCAGGAATGTTTCATTCACAGCAGTCTAGAAATGGATGATATGGCTTTACTGCAAGTACAGGTCTGCTCCTACAGATATGGGACATCTGACTTCACTCAGCCTGGTATTCTGAGTTGAGCAGGCTCTTAACAAACCCAGCTGATGGCTTAACTCTTCCACTCTTATCTTTTGGAACCAAAGCAAAAATCATCGTAAATATACTTCCTCCTAAAAAAAATGTAGAATTTGTTGAGTCTGAATGCATCATTTATCAAATCTGCTCTTGCTAATAAAATTACAAAATCACATATTAAACTACGCAGCCGCATAAAGTGGTTATCCAGATAATCAGATTATGTAAACCTTACTCTTTTAAAGAACACCATCAGAATGACAAGTTGTTGTTGTTATGTGCCGTCGAGTCGCTTGCGACTCATAGCAACCCTATGTACAACAGCCCTAAAGTCTGCTCTGTCCTGTGCCAATCACACTGCCTCTGACACACCCATCCCGATTACCCCAGTCACTGAATCAATCCACCTCATAGAGGGCCTTCCCCTCCTGCGCTGTCCTTCCACCCTACCAAACATGATGCGATCAAGGGCTGGCAATGGGAGATAGATGTTGAAGGGAGTGGGTAGAAGTGGATGGGTATCCTGGTGGATGGTGGAGCAGGGAAATAAGTGGGTAAAGACACGTGTGCCAAAGGCAGGGACAACACTGATACTAATGGTTAACTCCACAATAACGGATATATCTTTCACTTTTTCTGTAAAATGCTGGTCTGTCTGATACTTCTCTATATCTGAACATTCAGATTAAGACAGACTAGGAAAAAGGATTGGTCATCCACTTCTGAAAGAGCAGGCCTCTGAAAACCCTTTGTACAAAAAAAAAAAAAAAGAATGACAAGATAAATTCTAAATTTTTTACAGAAGATGTGTGGATCCTCGAATAACCATCAGACCTGGGTTGTGGAACACTGTATTACACCAGTTTCAGATTAAGATTTGATCTTGTTCTGTCTCCCTGAGTGAAGCAATCTAATAAACTCTGTGGGCAAACAGAAGGTTCTAAGGAACAGGACTCAAAGTAGTCAACTCTTGACAGGAGCAAGACAAGGCATGTGGTGGCAGAGAACCCCTGAGCAAATGATATCTGAAATAGAAGATCAAGGCCACGTGGAACCAAAGGGGAAAAGTTAAGGAGGGGCTGGTGGTGTTAGGTGCCATCAAGTCAAATACAACTCACAGTGACCCTACGAACAACAGAACTGAACCCTGTCCTATCCTGTGCCATCCTCATCATCTCTTACACACTTGAGCCGATTGCTAAGTGTTAACCCGTCTTGTTGGAAGTCTTCCTCTCCTTCACTTCATCTTTCCAAGCAGGATGTCCCTTTCTGAGAAACAGCCTCACCTAGCTACACAGACTCCTAATAATTTTCATGTAGGATTCACTACAACTGAGGCAGCAAGCTAGACACAAAAATTAAGACATAATTATTAGTATCATACAAATATTCATAAGTCATGGATATTTTAAAAAATAAGTTGAGTATCAAACATGCCTTATCATTGCCTATCCTGCCCACAGCCCTTGCTGAATGAGCACAGACATGTTCCATATGACGATCCTTCCCCATGCTTGGAGGATGAGGCTAGGAGTAGAATATGGGCCAAAAGCAGACAGAGCTAGGTAGGCAGCCATCTATGAACTGTGGTCTGCCTCGGAGAGATTCCTTGGGCCAGGACCTTGTGGATTCAGGAATTTAAATTAAGAACCAGAGAAGAACGTTCCACTGCCAGGTGAATGCCACAGTAATGTGAAGATGAGGCTGGCCATCAGCAGGAGGCTTCTGGCCTACTCAAGTTAGGAAAGGGTGTACGTTCCCCATGAGAACGGCGGGCATGTGATTAAAAGGTGACATTTATTTCTTATCCTTAAAGTTACCCAACTGTTGATCTACCAACCTGAAGCATCCCTTCGTTCTTCCACAGTCTTCCACTTTAATTTTGGCGAATGGATCCACAGGAGGAGCAGTAGGGAAAGGGTAGCCTGGGCAGTAAATATAAGCAATGGTTAGAAAATCCAGTATCAGCCTTCCCAATGAAAAAATAACATCCGTGCACTTTGGACAATCCGCTTCCTCTCCAATGCTGCTGTGGTGAAATCATTCAACTGCTAACAAAAAAACAATGGCAGTTCAAACATACCAGCCTCTCTACTGGATAAAAATGAGACCGACAGCTCCAGATTTAGGGCCTCGGGAACCCATGGGGAAGTTCTACCCTTCCTGTCTCTTACAGGGTCACTATGCTTGGAATCAATTCAATGGCACATCTGGACCGTGCAAAAACACCGCTTTAACTCTTCACTACGCTGAGTAACTAGGGCAAGTGCAATCCCTTTTCTAGTTTTACTCTTATTTCTAGCTAAGTTCCTAAACAACATGCCTCTGGAAACTCGATGAACTTTGGCCTCAGGCCTTTTGTTCATAGGGTTGCTATGAGTCCTGCTTGGCTCGAAGGCAATCAACAACAACTACATGTACCACCAAATTACAGACTGAGCCCTGCCTTCAAGCAGGTTTGGTCCTCTACCCCCTTTAATATTGAGTTCAATGCCACAAATTATGTTCAATATTTTCATATATGTTCCTCTGGTTACTTCTCATAATCTTGAGGCCATTCATTTTCTTAAAACATTAGTCGAATGCAATGACCACATACTTCCATGTTGTTTTAAGATTCTTAAAGATAAAGGAAACCCACAGGGCCATTTTTCTCTGTCTTGTGGGGTTGCTAGGAATCAAAAAGGCCTGGCTTAAGTCAAAATGCTGCACTTGGCATCAGCAGTCAGTAAATCAAAAGTGGCTCTGGGAAAATGTGCTGTGAAGGACCTCTCCAGATGCTAAAGAACCACAGTGTGAATCTAGTGACTACGGTGCGCCTGATCCAGGCCATGGTCTTCTCAACTGCTTGTTATGCATCTGAGAGCTGGATGTTGAATAAAGAGTAACAGAGGAAGAATCAATGCCTTTGAGTTGTGTTGCGGGAGAAGAATATCGAACATACCACGGACTGCTAAGAGAACAGGTCTGTCCTGGAGAGGGTGAAACCAAGCTGTTCCTCAGAGGCAAGGATTTTGAAGCTCCCTCTCACATACTTGGGGTATGTTGCCAGGAGGGACCAGTCCTTGCAAAAGGACATCATGCTTGGAAAGGTAGAGGGTCAATGTAGAAGAGGAAGCCCCTGGATGAGATGAACTGACACAGTGACTGTAGCAAGGGAGTCAGGTGTGTCAGAGACAGCGCACGGTTCACAGGATTGCTATGAGTTGCAGTTGACTTGATGGCATCCAACAACAACTGTTTGCCTGAAAGTTGAGCTAAGGGTTGGGTTCAATTTCATGCTAGAAAGGTGTCTAGTGACCATAGACTCGGAGATTCTACCAATCTCTATCACAAGTGATTGGAGGGTTTTTAAACAAGTCAATTTCTCTGATGAATAAAAATTCTTTAAGTCAAAAGTTTCTGGCATTGATTGTATTCTTTTATTTGCTGGGTTATTGAAAAAGTCTGCATCCCTTTTAAAACTGTGCTACCATCACTACCATCTCATTCTGCAATATTTTCATTTCAAAAAGAAACCCTGTACCTGTAAGCTGTCATTATCATTTCCCCTCTTTGGTCTTCCCCTGAGACTCACCAATCTACTTTCTTCCTCCATGTATTTGCCTATTCTATTTTGCATAAATGGAACCATAAAATATATGGTCTTCTGTGTCAGGCTTCTTTCACTTAACCTAAGATTTCTAAGGTTACCCAGGTGGGAGCATGGATCAGTATTTTCTTTTCTTGGATGAGTAATATTCCCTTATGGAGACAGACTATATCCTGTTTATTCATTCATCAGTTGGGAGATATCTAGGCTGTTCGCACTTTTTGACAGTATGAATAACACTATCATAAATATTCATGCACAAGTTTTTATGTGAACATCTACTTCCTTTTTAAAAAAAGTATCATGGTTTGCGTAATGAATACTCACTTTCAACTCCCTTGGGTATAGATGTAGGTAGGAGTGAAACTGCTGGCTCATATAATAACTGTATGTTGAATTTTTAAAGGTGTAGCCAAAATGTTCACTAAAGTGAGTACACCACTTTACATTCCTATTAGGAATCTATAGGGGCTAATTCCATACTTTCATTTCAATATTTGTTATATATCTTTTTATTATAGTCACCCTAGTAAGTACACAAAGGAGCTCGGGTGGCCTCGTGGCAAGAAGTTGTGCTGCAATCCCAAAGGCACACAGCTGCTTTGCAGGATGGGCAATCTCTTCCCGTGAGATTAACTGTCTCTGAAAACCCACTGGAGGGTCCGCTATGGGTCGGTTTTGACTATACAGTACATCACAATAACAGGTGTGTACACAGGGAACTGTGATGGCACAGTCTATAGAGAGCTGTACTAGTAACTCAAAGAGTAACCATCTAATTCCTGAGCATTTTCATTACAATGAAG